ATTAACGTATGTTTTTTATAGATTGTATTTCAATCAATTGCATAAGTAAATATCATCAAAAATTCGAAAATGGGCAGAATATATATAAAAAAAACCTCAAAAGTACGATGACGATGCATTATCAAATGCATTAAAAAGTATTAGAGAAAAAAGACTGAGTATTTCTAAAGCTGCTAAAGAATATAACATTGACAGAAGTCTGTTGAGTCGACGTTTGCATGAAAAAGGAATCAAAAAACGAGAAAAAAAGACTGAATTTCAATCACACGAAGAAGAAAAGTTAGCAACGTGTTTACGAAAGCTCGGTCGATGGGGTTTTGGACTAATGAAAGAAGAAGTATTAAATATTGTCCAAGAATATATTAAGAAAAACGATATAAAGACTAAATTCCATAATGGGCGACCTGGAAAAGATTGGTTGAACAATTTTATGAAGCGACAAAATTTATCTCTCAAAAAGCCTGAACAGTTACAGAGTATTCGACGAAATGCTACAAGTGATCCTTTCATTATCTACGACTTTTATGATGTGTTGGAAGCTACGCTAAAACAACTCGTTTTATTCGATAAGCCTACACATATTTTTAATTTGGATGAAACATCAGTTTCCTATGACCCCAATAGACTCAAAGTCGTCGGAGAAAGAGGCAAAAGTGTGCACCGTACAATTCAGAGCAGTGGCAAGTAAAATACTAGTGTACTGGCTTGCGTGAAGCAAGCTGCAGGGAGATTACTTCCTCCTTTGATCACTCATCAAGGTAATAATACTAATTAGTAATATTTAAGTGATATTTTATATTTTTAATGTTTAACATTTTTTAATGGATAATATCGTTTATTGATTTGTAGGTAAACATCTGTGGACAACGTGGAAAGGTCAGAACGATATTCAAGGAACTTTTTATGCAACATCGGAAAAAGGATGGATGACCGCCGAGATATTTTTCAATTATTTCGAATCATTTTGTCATTTTGTAAAAGAACGTCCTCTTGTTCTTATCTTAGATGGACATCTATCCCATTTAAGTTATGCAACAGTCGATCTTGCAATTAAAGAAAACGTGGTAATTATTAAATTGCCACCTGATACAACCGATTTATTACAACCACTTGACAAAACCTGCTTTCGACCTTTAAAGTTGGCCTGAGATAACCAGTTTATTCAGTGGCAGCGGCAGAATCAGAGGCCGTTGACTAAAAAGTGGACTTTTGCGATCTTTTGGCTTCTATTTGGCATAAAGGCATCCGATGTAAATCAATTGCGTCTGGATTTTTATTACCACCGGTATATATCCGGTTAACCGATCTAAATATCCGATTGCAAGATTGAATTCTCAAAAACTTGAATTATATCGCCAATTCAAGGAAAGTGATAGAGTAACGACTACTGTTGAAATGACTGACCCATCACCAAAGATTTTAGCTTCAGCTAATAATAACGAAACTGTTGAGGCGGGATCAACGCTCGAGGCACTGCGTGCCTCGAGCGTTGACACCTCTTTTGAAAGTCTTTTACTTGCAAAAATCGGCAAAACTACTACTACTGCAAAGCCACGCCGCAAAGTTGACTCGAAGGGTAAGATTGTTACAACTGAAGAATTTTTAAAGTCTATTGAAAATATTGAAACTAAGAAAGTTGTCAAAAAAAATAAAACAAGAACCAGAAAAAAATTTATGAAAAAATGAATATAGTACAATAACGGATATGATACGCGAGATTATAAAATTGTATAGTAAAAAATTCTATTTTATTGTATTTTATATATTTCGTTTTAATCTATTTAAATATATCAAGTTATTCTCACACTTATTATTAATATTGTGCAGTGCTCATTTTTCCCCGCAACATGCTTATTATTTTTACCCCAACTCGTGGATAAAAGTGATAAAAGTATAAAATTTATTATAACAGAACAATAAAGTTTATTTTTTAGTTTTAATGAGTGAAATATTATTCATTACATCTCTTTTTATAATTATGATACAAAAACGCTTGAATTTAATTATCAATTTTATTATATATTTATGGAAGTTTAAAAAAACTGATCATTTTTACCCCGCTTGACCCTACGAAAAAAGAGAACTAAATGTATTCATGAACGCGCAGTCACTGCCATTCACGTAATTCAACAAAGAAACGCGTCACCCTTTATCGCTGCCATTGCTCCTTGTCGTTGCTCGATTGCGAATATCGAGTGTTGAATATTTAACGCGAACGGCAATTTGCGTTGCGGAGACGGAGGCAGTTTGACGTTTCATTTCTTGATGCGCGATTTCGCGCATTTCGCTCACCGCGCGATCCCCGTGATCCGCATTTATAGAGTCTCGAAATGAGGTTTGGGAGAAGAGGAGGGGGGACAGAGAGAGAGAGAGAGAGAGAGAGAGAGAGAGAGAGAGAGAGAGAGAGAGAGAGAGAGAGAGAGAAGAACGTCTCACGAGTGCAATAAAAATATCCCTTCGTCGCAGCTTCGACTGATCTCGAGTCCTTATCAGCGAGCCGCAATTATTCCGCCTCCGTTTTGCATACGTATTTACGAACGTCCGTATTACGCGTCGCCGTCGATGTCGAATCTCCACGCAATATCCAGGACACGGGCGCATCACCGGCGTGTCTTTCTTCTCGCGCGTTCGGCGAGATTGTCAAAACTTTGGAATAGACACGCTCGCGATGGCGCTCGCTGTATCGGCAGAGTTTAACCGAGGCCGGCGATTGTATACAGGCGCTGCGCGTTTGCGAAACTGCGTCCTATCACCGCAACCGCTCAGCAGGACGCGGGCACGTATCGGTCGTTACTTTCTGAATTGCGCGAATTTTTATTTCGCACGCGCGCTCGCGTCGGGACGCGCATATCGCGCGCGTGGCGAATGACGGTGTAATTCAGATTGCAGCCGTGCGCTCCAATTATGATTCCTAAGTGATGCGCCTTATAAATCGGTTCACAGATTTTGGAATATCTCGCACGCTTGCGCGCACGCGCGCGTGTGTGTGTGTGTGTGTGTGTGTATGTGTATCTGCATGATCGGTGGCGTCGAGCAAAATCCTCAGGCGAATCGCAACGGCCGTTAATGGAACAATTTGCAAATCGAAGGTTATCCATCATTCTTTCAGTTTTCGAGATTTCGGATATACGCGCGGATACACTGCGATTGCATTCGACGAGCGGTATTAGCTTCAACGACTGTATCCAGCTCTGTCTCCGCGATTGAAACGTCCCGCTCGCGCGCGAACGTGTGAGAGCAAAAGGCAGAAAATACCGTCTCCCGACTCGTGTCATTTCTCGCCACTTCGTTTGTACTGACTTATACTTGTACCGTGCAATGATGCACACTTGTACACTTTTGATGTACGAGTTGATGCATACGAGCTACGTTAATGTATACTCGAACATTATTTGTCAACTTCGCGCTTAGACAACGGTCCCAACAGAAAGAACGAAACTATTCTTCAACATGGCCGCCCTCTCTGTCGGGGCACTTGTCCAAGCGAGAAATCCATGAATCAGAAGCCCCTCGGCGAAAGGTGCGAGCCTGTTCATTGCAAACCCGAGTGTGTTATTTTGACACGTATAAGCTGAAGCTTCCTTTACGCGTATCTTCGTTGTCTTAAATCACGTCGTTTAACGCGTTTAAACGCGTCAAGTGATATCGAAATCAGCATCAAATGACGCGATTTCAGACGACACGAAACGCGTGAAGAAAGCTTCAGCTTATACGTGTCAAAATAACACACTCGGGTTTGCAGTGTTCACGCGGCCACTTTTGCACCTCGACGTCATCATCCTGTGATTGAAATCGCCTGCCAGGAAGGTGCTTTCTTCATTCTTGGCAAGCAAGCGATCCCGATCAGACGACAGACATAAAGTGCAAAAGTAATTGCGTGAACAGGTTCTGCCGACGGGGTTTTGACTCCGATTTCCCCTCGTAGATATATATATATATATATATAACGCACGCAGCGCCAGGAATATACGTTCCCATAAAATCGCGACCGTATCTTAGTTTTCCGCTTCACCGCACTACTATTGATCCACGACCCGTGCAACGATTGCACGCCTGATACACCGGAATAACGCTGTATTAACAGATCCCATCGGCGTTCTCGTCGCCCGCCGGCGACAGACGGAGCGAGGACGGCGATCGGGGATTTCCCGTTGTCTCCGTTCTTTTTAATTAACTGATAATGGCAAAACGTCTCGGTTCACTCGGGAAATCGCCCGGCAGGGAGACGTGACGAATAACGTTTGCCTCTCCTCTGCTCCTCGGTTTCTTTTTTTCTCTTGCGATGAAAAACTCGTTAATTCACGCAAAGTTGCATCAACTAGGCTAGGGATAATGAGCGAAGTAATTGAGGGATTCGTTAGCGAGAGCAGAAAAGGACCAGGAGATTCGTCGGGCGATTTATGACGGGCTGCCCCGCGGTAGCACGCAATCGATGATAAAGCGATATCCTCGAGTCGCGAAGTTATGTAATTCAATAGTGAAATATTCGATTCCTCAATTTTGTCAAGCTCCACGTCAGTGTAGCGCATTTATTCTCGAATTTATCGGTCAGAGAGAGAGAGAGGAAGAGAGAGAGAGAGAGAGAGAGAGAGAGAGAGGAGGGAGAGAGAGAGAGAGAGCCGCTGTGTGCGCGACCGGCCGGCGTGTTTGATTTTATCAACTTTAATCGCCGAAATATCGTCCGCGAAGATTAATGCCTGTTCGAGCATTTCGGCGATACACCACGACGTGTCAGGCCACGAATTGGAAAACGATGTGATAGGTCCCGCGAGAGAGAGGCTTCCGATGCTTAAATGATAATTAGTTGTTATCGGAAACATTATACGGCATCATATAATGCTTGATTAGCCGATGGACAATTAATAACTTCCTCGGGGCAGCGCGAGAGCGACAGACGTTACGCGCGATGACGCGCTTGAAAACGCACCGACAATCAATCGCGCAGGCAATGTCGAGCATCATCCGTGTGACTAACGAAAACGATCATATGTTGGTTGCAGCGAAGCTGGATGGCGTGAAGACGTACATGAGGATGAGGAGAGTGCCGACGCATCTGCAGGTGAAGGTCATCAAGTGGTTCGACTACCTGTGGTTGACGCAGAAGTGCTCCGACGAGGAGAAGGCAGTGAGTTGTCTTCCAGGTGAGGACCTCTCTCTCATTCTCTCTCTCTTTCTCTCTCTCTCTCTCTCTCTCTCTCTCTCTTTCTCTCTCTCTCTCTGTCTGTTTCCCTATCTCCATTTTTCCTGACTCTCAACTTATTTATTTCATATCTTCCGACTTGTAATATGTAACACTGATAACTGACGGAGGGCGATTAATTTTATCGCGGCGCGACGAAAAGAAACACGAAATACGCGAGAGTGAGAAATTAACGGTAACGTCCGCGTGAGAAATCGCCTCACGCAAGTGTCACGGCAAGATTCCGCCGGAAAAAAAGAGGAACAAGGAGGAAAAAAGCATGACCGGCTTATCGTTGGCGCGCGCGCACGAGAGAGAGAGAGAGAGAGAGAGAGAGAGAGAGAGAGAGAGAGAAAGGGAGAAGAAGAGAACGAGAAGAGTTCGTGAAATTACCGCGGTGCGATTAAAATGGCGTGCAATTCTTTATCTTCATATTAATTATTTATTAACTCTTCAGCGTCTAGTTATCGTGTATAGTCTAGTTAATGCGTAACGCCGGATGGATGTCGGAACGCGGATTTATACTCCTGTTAAACAGCACGAGAGATGTATGAAAATGCGGCGACACGGCGAGAGGTCGTAACTTTATAATATTTATATAAGTCTGAAACGCGTCCTCTCTCCCCCTCTCCCGTGCGCGCAACCAGCGGCTGAGCAAATCGCGTTAAGCTTCGTGCTGTTTTATAAGCACGCAACTTAACGAACGTGTAATTAACACAATCTCGTTCCCATCACGGGCTCCCTCTTCCACTTTCTCTCTCTCTCTCTCTCTCTCTCTCTCTCTCTCTCTCTCTCTCTCTCTCTCTCTCTCTCTCTCTCTCTCTCTCTCTCTCACCTCGAGTGCGAGGTTCTCCATTTTTAACAGCAATTTATTAGTCAAATAACGGCAATTTCTCGGTTACGCGGAACGAGGTGTTTACGAGAGTTACGAGAGACGATACCGTCGCCTTTCGCCGGGGCCTTAGCGTATATAATTTCACGGAAAACATTTGATCTTGTAGCTGTTGGCAGGATCTGCAAACTAAAATGCGAGCAAACCAAGACGCGTAAGCAGACTGTATGTACGGCTGCCAACATCTCGTCGCCCTTTAATGCAAACGCGTCGGGAACCAACGGTTGCACGTGTGTTTACGTGTCGGTGTATGCATACGTGTGTCTATCGCGCGAATTTTCGCCAGAGTGTCGCGAGAAACCGAGATGAAAATGCACGCTGCGTGCATTTTGCAGCGTGTGCAATTCGCGAATTGAAGTTTATTAATTTTCCGCGCCCGCTAAATCGCTTTGTAACTCAATCGGGAATAAATAAACGAGCGTAAACACGCGACGACGATGACGCTTGGCGAACCGCGCCAATATGAATACATCGCGAAGGAAAGGAGCACACGCGGCGATGATTCACTGGCGCGTATCGTCCGATAATTAATCTCGCGTGGCAATTCTCCCCGACAGCACTCGCCGGTGCTCGACTTTATAGACTTGTAGACTTGCGCCCGCGAGAGAAATAAGAAACACATATCTGAGACGTTTGTTAAAGGGAGCCGGCGTCGATCGCTGAGAGCGGGACAGCATCGCCGCCGCCACTACGAATTCGCCAGTAAAACGCCAGTAAAGCCACGCAATAATGATTCTATTGCTCACGGTGCGCTATAAAACAGACTGCATGTAACATAAAATACACCGTATACACGTGCAGAATCCGGCGGCGGGCACAGCCGAGGGAACGGCGAGCGGCGAGCGGCGAGCCGCAACGTAGTCGGTCTACGTCGGGCTACGTTACGGGGGTCTTACCGCTGGAATTTATTGCGGCAGACACGCAAGAGTGCTTAACACGAAGTCAAGCTCCCGCTAAGAAGAAAATTGTCAACCCTTCTCTGTAAGCCTTCTCTCCTCGGCGCGTCGCGCCGCTCAACGCCGGGAAACATTTCCGGCGTCGTTCGCATCCGCCGCGAAAAACATCGGCTAATCTCACACGCGTTTTTCCGAGGTGCGAAATTCCCGCGGCTCCTTTCTTCGCGATTGTTCCGCCCGCGCGGCGCGACGCAAAGGGCCAAAGGAGCGTCATGACAAAGTGACTGGCTTGTACTCGCAGCGTTTTCGCGCGCGCGCGGATTCCTTTGTCTTGCGGAACGGAAAATGTATACCTTCCATCCGCTCTCTTTTTCAGCGATTACGCGACTGTAATCGCGCAGCGGCCTCGCCGTGCAAAATTTCACGCTCTTTCCCTCGACTCGACTGACTTCACTTCCGGCTGGTTGCCGGATTCTCGTTATCGGTCGAATACCGCCAACTAATACCGACTCGACTCGACGTCGAATCACAATTGGATGATATACGACTCCTCGGTCCCAAACAACGCGGTCTGATAGTTCTCGGCCGAGCCTTTGGGGACGTCACAGCCGAGATGGAATTCTTCGCGCCCTCACATCGGCATAACGTCGAGAAATCGTTTATACGATGTGGAAAAGAGGGATTTGATCAAACGGAAGACATAGCGCGAAATTTTTCGAAGTGCGCGCGAAACTTCATGCTTTGCGCGATAACAAGTTACGACACTTTGTCTCCTGGTCCGAATAGATTCTCGCGTCTCTACATAACGATGTATCGCGCACACCGCGTGTCGTAATCGCGCACATGGATGGGCGTGTCATGACAAGAGCGCATGTAGCGCTTGCACGAACGTGCGCGGTGCGAAATGCCGAGGAGAACGGCGTTCGTCTCGCCTTCGTACGTCGATTTTTGCCCGAGCTACGGCCGCTCGCAACTTCAAAGTCCCGTGAGAGCGGCGCGCGGCCCTTTGCCGCCGCGCCGGCATGCGCGGTCGCGCGTCGAACTTCGCACCTCGCGCGGCGGCGCGCGGCGGCCTCGGTCCCCGTCAGACGATTTCGCCGCTCGTCGTCGATATCTCCATGCAGAAAAGTCGCAGCGACCTGGGACAAATTGCATTCAGGAGCTGAAGTCGCGCCCTGCTTCCGACGAGAGAGCAAACGTTTCTCCACGTTAGTAATTGTTGACAGTTATTGATTAATTTGGTAATTTTCGGGAATACGAAAGAATCTATCGAGCCGCTTTCTCTCTCGAGACATAACTGGAAGGAATTATCGTATTTAATTCGTTTGTTATTAAATCTAAGAGCATGATTCTTATGATGAGTTTTATTCGAGAGTGAAAAGGCGTAAGGAGTAAGGTCGCATAGCGCGTGAAACGAGTTAAAATTTAATACTTTTTTTTAATAAAACTTTCGAATTTTAAAATTAAAATTTTTAATAAAATTTAATCATTTCCACAAGATATATCCGGTTCCTGGATCCGCGCATTTTCGTCACATTTTGCACAAGGTGCAAGGAAGGACCTTTTGCGACTCGGACTCTTGATACTCCCGGAAAAAATGCATCCGATTTACTCGATCGTCGCGCTACGCTGCAGCTGTGTATCACAATTATCGAGTGTAGCAGATTGCGCGGCACAACAGACGATGCATCGAATTTTGCGGCGATCGTAACCGGATTACACCGACGTAGGATTACATGAGCCTAATTAGACTGCATTACGCGCTAAAATTTTGACGCGTGCGCGTGTGCGCGCGACTGCCGATAAAGTTACGCTTTGTAGAAAATATTACGTAACGGCGACGCGTCGATGTTCACTTATGCAGGGCGCACGCACGCACTCGTAATATTCGGTAATATAATAGTAAATTCGCGGAGCATAGTGCTAATTACGCGGCGATATTATACCGCGATAATAATAGAAACGTCGGGAGGCGATTGCGGGTCAACTGCCAATTTTGAGTCACGCGCGTTTCCTACAATTATGAAGGCGACAATAGCAACGATATTACGCTTCATCTTGTTATAATGAAGGTTTTATGCGCGAAATAATATCGCCGGCTGCCGGCGACCAATACACCTTATTTCACGGCGCTGTCATCAGTGCGAATGAATAATTGTTAATTATGCGATATTTACTACAATAGGCAATTAATTACGCGTATTACCTTATTAATGGCGTTTCCAGCCGGGACAACATTTGCGAACGAGCGCCGGACAATCACGACCGGCTGATTCATCAGCGCTGATTTCATTTAGCCATAAAAATAATCAAGCTCGTATGATGGACAATCAACGGACGCAATTTATGCTAATCGAACCTTTTGCGCGGGGAACGCTCTAAAGAGAAAAGAGAATCGCGTTGAAATCGGGAAAAATCTCCCAGGCCAGGATTGTTCCACGTTGTTGTAATTCTCCATGCTGAGATAAGTAACGATAATAAGAAAAGTAAGACCTCTCTCTCTCTCTCTCTCTCTCTCTCTCTCTCTCTCTCTCTCTCTCTCTCTCTCTCTCTCTCTCTCTCTCTCTCTCTCTCTCTCTCTCTCTCTCTCTCTCTCTCTCTCTCTCTCTCTCTCTATCTCTCTCTCTATCTATCGACCTATCTATCTTTATCTATTTATCTATCTCTCTCTCGGTCTGACGTGACGATCGAAAGCAATGCAAGTGTACATCGACCAGCCGCGAAAGAGCATTCCCTTCAACGAACGTTCCGCGATTTCGCAAACCCGTTCACGCGAACCCATCAAGTGTCCTTTCAAAGGGTCACTCGTCGGATTAGAGCCTCGGCGATGCTATCGATGTGCGAATCGAAGCCGGTACTTTCCGAGCGACCCGTGATCTCGCGCCGCAAACGATTTACGGTGCGGATAATCGCGATTCTCTCTCTTATCTTTATCGGCCGCCCTTTTGCCGGCGATATCGCTTAAAAACATCTTCGCGCATGCCCGTTTTTCCCGTAACACGTGCACGCGGCCGTGGAAATGTACATGTAGCCGCTCCTAATTACCTGGGTAGCCTCTTCGAGCGCTTAACCCGCGCGACGAATTCAGCCAGACGTTTCCGGCTAATGAGACGTCGCTTTTAGAAAAACAGAGCGCGGAGAATCTCCTCGCGGAACGGCTCGAAAGTTGAAGTCGCTCAAGTTGTAGTAGCGTGCAACAAAAACAGTCCTTCGCAACTCGCGCCGATGTCGCGCGACCGTGTAAATTGCCGCGTGCGAAAATTGCCGCGAAGCCGCCGCGCCACAAAAGAAGTTCCAAGTGCCGCAAAAATATCTAGTAATGGCGGACGAAAGTTATGTAATGTTGCGAGGTTTGAAGAGTATAAATATGCTGATTGAATACGCAAATATCGAGCGTCGCTCGCAGATTTTGAGGAACTCGTCGATTCGAACGTCGCGACACTACAAATCCGAGTGCGCCATTTTCCCACGTATAAGCGTGTAATTTTGACTAAAGCTTTCTTCACGTGCTCTTCTCAAAGTATCGCCTTCAACCGCGTCATTTGATTCGTTTAGGTATTGCCTAACACGTTCAAATGTATTAAGAAATGACTTGCTTGACGTGCTTGAAGGTGACAAGAAACGCGCAAAGAAAGCTTCAGCCATAATTTCACGCTTATGCGTGTCAAGATAACGCACTCGAATTCGCGGTGCAAGTTGGCAGCTTGCAAGCTTTTGCACGTTAACTTCGTATCTCTTCGGGATTCCTAACTAGCGATTATCCGGTCGCCCGACACCACCTTCCCATGCCGCGTGTTAATCCTCATTTCTTCTCTGCGCGTTGCAGATAAGCTGAAGGCGGAGATCGCGATAAACGTGCACCTGGACACGCTGAAGAGGGTCGAGATCTTCCAGAACACGGAGGCCGGCTTCCTGTGCGAACTGGTGCTGCGACTACGGCCCGTTCTTTTCTCACCTGGCGACTACATCTGTCGCAAAGGTAAGGCGCCGGCTCATTTCTGCTCGCCCGCGGAGGCGATCCTATGCGCTCCACGCGCCGAAAGTGTGTGCGCTCGAAAGAACTCCCGCCGAGCTTCCTCGTTTCCTATGGCGGCCGGGAGAGAACGGTAAGAAAAATTGACGCTATAAGCGCTCCGTGGAATTTGGTTGAGAAATGCTCGGCGCGCCGCACGCGCCTCATTGCCGGCGATATCGATTTTTCGCCCGTCTCCCATTGTCACTTACGGGCCACTCTTTCTCTCTCTTTCTCTCTCTCTCTCTCTCTCCCCCTTCCTCCCTCTCTCCCTCCCCCCTCCCCTCTCTCTCTCTCTCTCTCTCTCTCACACTCACTCGTCCGAGCCTCGCCTAGACACTTGCCTTCTTCTCCTGCGCGCGATTTTTCCCCTGGATTCAGCGTGTCCCGCTTACGGGAACGTGGCTGTTGGAAGTCGGCCAAACGATGTACCGCGGCTGTGAAAAATGATTGTCCGTTCTCTCTCTCTCTCTCTCCTTCTCTGCGCCAGTCCCCGTCACCAGTAGCGTAAGCGGAAACCAGCGGGCGGCAGGCGAATATTTTTGCTTTATGGCCGAAAAAAGGGGCAAAACGGGAGAGCTCGTCGCGCGCGTTCGTTATCAGCGCGAAGGAAAGAAGCGCGCGAACCTGTGTAACTGCTTCGAAGTCCGCACTCGCGCAGGAGACGAGCGGCTCATAAATCGTCACGCGGCCCCCGCGACGCTCCGCGCTGTACGCTCGGCGATGGGCATCGAAATTCCGTTCGCATTACAGACTCGCAGCGAGATCGAGTGTCGTTACATGGCGAATCGGCCATCCGCCGCTCATTTGCCTCGTCTTACACGTGTTTGCGTAAAACAAGTGAACGCCGCGATATGCGCGTAGAATTCTTTCTCCCAACTGCAAGAACGAGACCCTCTTCGTGCAGCTTCGCTCGAGTATCAACGATCTCCTATGCGAGCGGCGCATAGGGAAATTCACTCGAAAGGATTCCTCTTCGTCGGGGAGTAGATGGAGCCTATTCCTTCCTCGCTATTGTCTATGACGTCTGAATCATAGGCTTATGTGCATAGACTGAGCGCTCTGCAAGACACTGCGAAGACGAAGAAGGAAGTCTGAGAAAGATGGCGCGTGCCACAGAAGTGTTCGATCTTTGTCCGGCTTGACTCTCATTGCACTTGGAAAAATGTATTGTTGCGTGAACCAAAATTTTGTTGTGACAACAAAATAATTTGGTTAAAATATGCCCAACAAAACAGTTTAGTTCCTGTAAACAAATATCTTGTTTGATTACGGTTTGTTCGTATAACGTAATATTTTTGTTATAGCAACCAAAAAGCTTTAACTATATGAATTTTGTTAAAAATACTATAATTTTTTCTTAATATACAGGTTAGGTTAATATACAGGGTGTCCAAACCCACCCCTTCTAAACTCTAGAAAATTCTTTAATCTTTTTGGGGATCTGAAAAATTTTTATAACTATGTCGGGTACCCTCTTTTGATTGGTGATATTATCAACTTCCGCCTCTGACCAGAAGTGGGTTCTCCAGACCGGAAAATCGTTTTTTTTAAATGGAACATGCATATTTTTATTGCAGACTCCAATTCTACGCGTCGAGAAAATAACACGACAACGATGAATGTTGACAAACAGCAAAGATAGTACTGTTATTTTCTCGACAATTCAGTCCCTGAAGTTTGAAAGGGGTTTCGTGCGGACCGGACCCAAGCTCAAATGTAAAGGTCATTTAGAGGTCAAAAATGACGTTTTCGAAAAAAATTTTTCAAACCAAAATTACGTTTTTTTATGCGTAGAATTGGAATCCACAATAAAAATATGCATGTTCCATTTAAAAAAACGATATTCCGGTCTGGATAACCCATTTCCAGTCGGAGCTGGAAGTTGATAATATCACCAATCGAAAGAGCGCACCCGACATAGTTATAAAAACTTTTCAGATCCCCAAAAAAATTAATTTTCTAGATTTTAGAAGGGGCGGGCGGGTGGTTTTGTATAAAATCTAAATTTTAGTGCACAGAAAAACAAAATAGTATCCATTGGGCATTATTTTAGTTTATGTAAAATAATATTTCGTTATTATGTAATTTTTATGGATAAAATAACTAAAATCCTTAATTTTTATATATGAAGTCTAAGAACAAAATCATTTGGTCCAGAGAACAAAGCAGAAAAATATATTTAGTTGAGGCAACTAAACATTTTGTTATATAAAACAAGATATTTGGTTGCTATTAAAAAATGCCTCAACTAAACAGTTCTGTTAGAGATACTAAATTTTTTTTCCTAGTGTGAAGAAAGCTGAATGAAGACGGTCATGTCCGTGGGCAGCTGGAAGCTGCGAATAAAGTTGTCCCTCATATCGTTTTCAAAGCTCTCATAGGTCGTCCCTCCTATCGTTTTCAAAGCTCTTATAAGAAGGCGCAGTCTATGTGTGATAAGTCCAGAAAAAAGTTCGTGTGCGCGCGCGCGCGCGCACTGGATTACCTCGCGTAAGCGAAGCTCCAGCTTACGCCATTGCCGAGGTGGCATTTGCCGGGCGTGTTGTGCTCGCGTCCGATATCTGTTCCCGAACAAATAGTAAGCAACCGGGTGAATAATTCCGGCTCGCCGGGTAGCCGAAGGCCATGAAGCCGAGCGCGTCGGCCGCCCGTTCCGCCCTGCCGCCGGTGGTTTCTTTTCATTAACGGCGGAACGAGCGCAAAAATGAGTACAGGAATGCGGGGACGCGGTCGTTTCGGGGCCGCCATGGACCGCGTGACGCCTGGCTTTTGACGGGCGAGAGCATTTCCTCGCGCGATTACGGCCGCAATTATGACTTGGCCTTACTACTTGCACGCGACAAACGATGTCGCGCTGCTCGCGCGTCCGATACTCGACGCGCCTGCGTCTTTTATTAAGGCCGCTTTAGACGGCCTATAATTCACGACGGGACTCGAGACGGAATTCTGCCTGTAAGAATTACGTTTATGGGCGCTCTGTTTGCTAGTGTATGTATCGCAGACGACGCATAAAATCACGACGGAAATCTCGCGCCGAATCGTTCGCGGTTTATTATACATCGCCTAAAGTGGATGTTACGGTCGATTTCTCCGAGCTTGATTAACATGATCTGCGGTTTATTTATATCTCGCTTTTCTCTCCCCGTAACCGAGGGAGGAGACCGAAAAGGACCGGCGGATTATGGTTAGAGTTAATCAGCTTTCACCCCTATTCCATTTTTCCTCCCTTCCTCCGTGCGCGCCGCGTAGATGCGTCATGGTTAATAACGCCGGGAGTCACGTCGGCGGGATGATACGAGACACCGTTAGTACGTAACACAGAGAGAGACACCAGCTCAGGTTGTATACCACCAAGTGCGACGACTTGCATTCCGACCGTGGCGCCGACGGCTGATTATTTTTATAGACTCGTAAACGGATACTGCGAGAGATAGAGAAAGAGAGAGAGAGAGACAGAGAGAGAGAGAGAGAGAGAGAGAGAGGGGGGGGGAGGGAAGAGGGAAAAAGCTGCATTTTTACATTAAGCGCACTGGCGAGACTCTCTGCGGACCAGAGAAATACAGCTTCGCGTGTTACGGCTTTATTACCGAGAATATTAGTACGACTTTATTATGCGAAGCGCCGAGATATGAAATATCTTAGCGAGACTGGGAAGCAACGGCTAGGAGAAAAAATTAGAGAGAGAGAGAGAGAGAGAGAGAGAGAGAGAGAGAGAGAATTTAGACGCGACTTTGGTGTGATTGCAGGTGAGGTGGGAAAGGAGATGTACATAGTGAATAGGGGCCGACTGCAAGTGGTGGCCGACAACGGGAAGACGGTGCTCGCCACCCTAAAGGCGGGTTCCTACTTCGGGGAGATCAGCATTCTCAATATGGGGACCGCAGGTAAAGAGTGCGGTAAATATTCCAAACGGACCAGGGGCCCGTGAGCTGTCCCCCTCGTTTTTCACGATCACGTTTTCACGTTTCACGTTCTTACCACTCTGTGAGAGGGCGAGCCGTCGAGCCGGTATGAGCCGATCTGAAAACGATCTCTCTAGCAATTTTTCCACTATTCTCTCTCCTTTTCTCGCAGACATCCCACTTGTCGATCTTCACCCTTCAATTGTGCAGCCGACGTTCGCACAACGACACACGTGCACGTCTCGTAACCGCAAACGAGAAACGACCGAGGCGCGAGAGACAGAGAAAGAGAGAGAGAGAGAGAGAGAGAGAGAGAGAGAGAGAGAGAGAGAGAGAGAGAGAGAGTAAGAGAGAAAAACAAGGCGAAAGAGAGAAAGACAGAGAAAGAGACGTCCGCGGTCATCGATCTGCTTGTCGTCGGGGATCAGCCCTAGTTATCAGCCTCGTTTCGTTAATTAATCGATCCACGCTGTCAGTTGTGCCTCTTCGGCGAGCTTCCCGACGAGGGCATGAAATGTGCACGGATCGCCGATGCAAAGTATCGCGCCAATTTCTCCGCTTCGACAGCCCTATTGGTGGTTCCGTATATCGAAACGACGTCCACGCGTATCGTCGCGGGATCGATAGCGAGCTCTCGTTCTTGTTTTCGAACATCGTCTCTCTTTCAGTTATCGGCGAAACGAGGAAAAAAATACGCGCATTCAAAGGCCGACGCGTATAAAGAGACGGGCGCGACTTTACTATTCCCCCCTGTTCTCTCTCTCTCTCTCTCTCTCTCTCTCTCGCTCTTTCTCTCTTCCTTTTCTCACTTTCTCTATATCTCTCTACCTCTCATTTCCTCTCTGACTCCTCGTCGAACTCTTTTCCAAGAGAACGTCGTCGCGGAAACTTCAGGCTCACAACGTTTCTGTGGCCATCCGAATGATTTTAATCCCGTTTAAATTGAATTTTCCTCGCGAGTATTTTCATAGCGATCGCACGATCTCGCCGCGCGCGATCTCTTATTAAATTAGAAGAAAATTTAATCCCCCCTGATATTACTTCTTTTCTCTTCTGTCAGCCGGCTAATAAAGAATTCCCCCTTACTTATCGCTCGATGAGAGAGATATGGCGGCCATGCGAGCTTATTTTCTCGGTATAAACTCGCTGAACTCTATTACCTCCTCCGCATATCATACCCGTCCGTGTCCGTGGAAACCAGACGAAATTAACCAACGTGGAAGGCGCGAAAAGTTTTGTTTTGTTTCATTTTATTTTTTATTTTCCATTTTTTGTTTTTCTTTTTTTTTTTGTTTTTTTTTTCGTAGCATCGCGCCGCTCGTAGAAAACTAGTCCACCCGGCTCCCCTCTCCATCGCCCCCCCCAATATATCGGAGGCGCGAATTACGAGACCGTACGAACAAACGAGCGAACAAGCGAATTAATCGCGTTCCAATTCCGCGTTATGGTCGCATCGCGCCGAAGATTTTATAATATTCTCTGTTTTCCGGCGGTAAACAACGACAATTATTTCGATTCCGGCAGGCACACGCGACAGCGTCGTTGCGCGATCGTCGAAGCACCTCGAATAAGACCCGTGACATATATTGCCCTTTAGTTTCCGCTCTTTTCCGATTCGTTTTGTCCTTTTTTACTCTCTCTCTCTCTCTCTCTCTCTCTCTCTCTCTCTCTCTCTCTCTCTCTCTCTCTCTTTCTCTCTCTCTCTCTCTCTTTGTTCTCTTTCACGGCTACTGTATACTGTTTTTGTGTTTTACGATCGACCGGGACGACCGACCGGACGATGACGCACGCCGTAAAAATATTAAATCGCGTTTTCTTCCTCTTTTCTTTATTTCTGTTTTCTTTTCCTCTCTCTCTCTCTCTCTCTCTCTTTTTCTCTGTTTCTCTATCTTTCTCTCTCTCTCTCTCTCTCTCTCTTCTTTTTTAACTTACGACGCGCCAGGGTCATCGCCGGCTTCCGGCCCGTGACCCGTGCGTTCCCCGTGAGAAAAGTAATAAAGAGATCGTCGACGTTACACGTCGATGTACGTATCGACATTTGACACTTTGGCGACGCGTCCGAGTGTTATTTTCGTTAGTATGTTTTCTTTATCGCTAAACACGCATGCGGAGCTTCCTCGATCGCAACACGAGAGAACGATACAGCGAACGACGCGAGTCTGCTTCTCGCGAGACGTGCCGGTCAATGAGATCGGGAAGGAAACACTTTTGGCCACTCGCGCTGAATTTCTCTATCTCGCTTTCGTAGCACTGTTAGAAGGGATGGCTTAAAACTGGACCGACTCAGGTGTTAGTCGTGCCCGTTTCGCATTTGTATGATTTTTCCCATCTTGATTCTCATAACGAGATTGGTGCTGTCACGTCACGCTAAGGGACTGTTTACATCTCTTTTCTTTCGTTCTTTGTCACACCGTCCTCTTGCATACCTATATTGATTGTTACGTATTTATTATCGTCGGACGGTGGCATTTGTAAAACTTGCACTCTCGCGTCCGATCGATATAGCGGCTGCCGCCTTCACCGCCACCACCTCCACCGCCACCGCCGCTACCGCCGCCGCCGCCGCCGCCGCCGCCGCCGCCGCCGCCGCCTCGAGACATCGATCGCATCCGCGCCGGTTATTTATAGCGCTAAGACGAATAATTCGATTGTCGATCGGAATTATCGTCCTGCCCGATCGCCCGCTTACAAATGCCACCGTGCGCGATAGCATCTCCATTTTCATGCGATATTATCATATTATTATTCATTGCACTATTCATGTACCTTTCTCACGATCTGCCACTATCACTATCCCTGGTACTTACGCTCTTATTGATTATTGATTGAATTGTAATTTACTGCTTACTATGATGCGTGCTGATTTCGTACGGATGTATTGACCTGCATTCGAATCTGCCAATTATATATTACCCCATTTATATTTATACATATATATGTATATATATACATATATATATATATATGTATATATATACACATAAATTGATTACATGGTAGTTTCTAGCATCCTTTGTCTTTTAGCTAACTCTTGAAATATCTAATTTAACTCTGGTTACGTTAATTTACCCGCGAAGGCAGGCAGTCGATTTGGCCGTCTTTATCTTTACCGATAGGATACGTACAAAGTCACCGGCACAGAGAACTGGAGAGAGAGAGAGAGAGAGAGAGAGAGAGAGAGAGAGAGAGAGAGAGAGAGAGAAAGAGAAAGAGAAAGAGAGACGACGCAAAATGGACTGTCTTCCTTCGGAAGTACGTATCCACTATCGACACGTATTGTCCGCTGCAACTTATTAACACTATATGACACTGTATAATCACGTAATTCGAGCCTCGACGCGCGAACAATGGCGAAAGTCTCGCTCTGCCGAAAGAAACTACAGCAAACGTCTCGGTGCACATTATTACGAGGATGCACCGTGGCGAAGAGGGTGCGAAACTCGCACGTCACCGTCCGTTCACGCGCGTTCTCGCGCGTGGGAAACTACTTTCGTACCTCGATCTGGCCGAGAACGACAATATCGAGATCTTGCGTTCAAAAACGCACAGCGAGGGCCGATTCATTGCGCGAGATTGCGAAGCTCCATTATCTCGGTATCCGTTTTGAAAAGACCGGTTTAGGGGTCGAGAAGGGCGCGTAAGTCCAAGAAGAGTCGCGCGATTTCGTCCGAGCGCGACGATTCTCAGACGCGAGAGCAAACCGCTGCAAAGTTGTCATAAGCGTTCGCCCGTAATGAGCTGCGCGGGGAAACGTCGCCGGCGATTATTCGACTTCCTCGGCGGCGATATATATAACGCGAGTTTCGCGCGATGGGGCGAGAGAGAGAGAGAGAGAGAGAGAGAGAGAAAGAGAAAGAAAGAGTGTAGCGTGTAGCAATTACAGTAAAGTAACGCAGACGCGGCGGGCGGCGGGAGCAGTATAATTTTCAATCCGGTACAAAGAGTTTCTGTGTCGCTCTCAACTTAATTATTACAATTTGTATTACGACTCACGCGCATTCACGGCATACTAATGAAGCAAAACTTCCGAACGTGGTATTTATCTTACGGCTCCCGGAAACACCCTTGGAAATACATAAAGTCCTCGCGTGCGCGCTCGACAGCCACATCGCCGACTCCTCGGACTGCGCACGCGCGTCTGAAACAATTATACGCTACTCGTTAGCTCGTTAATTACGCGGACCCGTTTACGACGACGTGTGAAATCGTCGCGGGCGCCAATTCAAGTCGCGGGACAATGGCTGGCACTCGCGTCATCGCCGCATCAGGCACAAGCCACTTTATTAGTGCCGGATTTATCAAGTACCGGGTGCGTTTAATTGTTTCGCTTTCTTTTTTTTTTTTACATCGAAGATGTAAAAAACGCGGCCGCGCCACCGGCTTTCCTATCCTGAAAGATCGAAACCAAACGGGAAGAAACAAAAATCGCGCTCCCTCGCCGCGCAAACAAACACGCGTAAATGAGAGTCGCAGCGGCGGCGGCGGCGGCTATTAATTGGCGCTCGCGCCATTATCGTCCATCAATTCATTAACGAACGCAAACGCCGGCCGGCCGAAGAAAAACGAGTCCGGTGTGCGACTTGGAGCGAACAATTAACATCGAATCACCGAGTCGTGAACGGAGGCGATTAATCAAAATTACACTCTGCTCTTAATTAATCAACATTAGTCTCGCACTGCCCCGCGACGAAATTACGCGCTCTCGCGAGTGCGAGGGGTCGTGAGGGGGGAGGGGGGAGAGCGATCGCGCGCGTAAACGCGACGGTCGAGCTTCCGTACCGGAACCACAGGTGCATCTGAATGGGCGAGCGGCACGAGACGTAAGGCGAGGCTGTCGTATGTAGTACGATCGACCGTTGGATCGATCGCGTGCGGTTACATAAGAAAGCTTGATGCATCCCGATAACCAATAAATGGCTACATCGACGCAGGTAACCGGCGAACAGCCAGCGTGCGCTCGGTCGGCTACTCGGACCTCTTCGTGCTCAGCAAGAAGGACATGTGGGACGTGCTCAAGGAGTATCCGGCTGCCAGAGTACGCCTGGAAGCCATCGCGGTCAAGAGGCTGGAGAAGTACAAGAGAACTCCTCTGGAGAAAGGTGGGTCGCGCCTGCTGTTCTGCCTTCGCTCGCTCGCTCGCTCGCTCGCTCGCTCGCTTGCTTTGCGCGCGTCGAACATATACAAACAGTATTTATGCTATGTTTCTGTGTCCGCCGGCGCCGGATCGGGGGCGAACCATTCTCCGGCACGGGGGTGACCTTTGCCCCGAGGTCGGTGTGTGTGTGAGGAACGCTGCCGGGAATGCGAAGTCGCGCGAGTCTCGACGAAGTTATTTTACTCGTACGAAGTAATTTCGTAATTCTCACGAATATTCGTCTTCAATCATTGGTTCGAAAGCGCACGGTTGAGAGCGGTTAGAGTGAAATCTTTCCGTGGATTTTATGCACGTGCGAAAGATCGTCCCGCGGCGATGAAACCAGGCAGGTTCACTGTTCGTTAGCTCAACTCACCGAGTCTGCGGAAACAACGGATTAGCATAAAAAGTAGATTGCGAGATGTCTGAATTTTTGAAATTTTCGTTTCTCGCACAATCCCTTGAATTAGTTGACTGCAACGATATTTCGCCTTATATTTTAATGAATGACGTAACGAGAACGGACAGGAAGATTAAGCGAGGATAAGCTGTTGCTCTTGACATATCAACGCGTCCGTGAGACTGCTGCAACGTCGTTTTACAATCCCCCCGGCTGCTTTTCTCGCGCTTTTCTCAGACGTGTTTGACGCGACTGACTCGAGGCTCATCGGTGCGGATTACGACGCATCCGTCAGAGACATATCAGAGTGGAAGCGCGCCCTCGGAACCCCTTTTCAATCCACTTTTCCGCGAGCGCGCGCAAAGAAGAAGGAGAGCGAGAGAGACAGACTCGAATTCGACTGTAAACGGGTCGCGTCTCGCGGTCGCTTTGGCGCGCAGCCGACGCGCCGCGAATACCTGGAACTTTCCTCGTTACCCGTTGTTAAAATAGCTAAACGCGGAAGTTTACGCGCCCTCAGCGAGGTAAGTTCTTCGGGACACGCGGATGCCATCCCGGGCAACTTCTAGCCGGCACCAAGGACGCGATTCCATCGAGATATGCTGCTGGCAGTCCCGCGGCGCATTAACGAATTAACCGGTACAGAAAGGCTCGAGTGGAGTTTCGATGAGCATAATGATACTTAAGACATCGCCGAAGCGGACACGCGGTGTCGCATACTCGCGTGATGCCTCTTGCTGAGACGAGCTACAAATTTTACACCTGCAGGCCCGTAAACGTCACTTCGTCCCGGCCGCATTAGCGGGAAGGAGGGCGTATTTATTGCAAAAATTTCATCTTTCAAATAACGAAACATTTCCGACCTTTCAGTAAGGATGAAACTTTAATTTGACAAACTCGAGCGAGCTTCCTGTCCTTCCATTAATTTTTACTAGATTTCCTCGATACTCTCCGCCAATATCGTCCGTTATCGTGTTCGCTCGACATTAATTTTCCCATTTCTCGGGATTCTCCTGATTTTATTATGTGACTGAAAATATGTATAACGTCCTGCACGTACATATATCCGAACGTATAAAGATTAATGAAACGACAGCTTTCCTTCCTCTCTCTCTCTCTCTCTCTCTCTCTTTCTCTCTCTCTCTCTCTCTCTCTCTCTCTCTCTCTCTCTCTCTCTCTCTCTCTCTCTCTCTCTCTCTCTCTCTCTCTTTAATATTTCTGCGGTTGTGCGACTACTGCGGCAAAATACGCGCACGCGCTTAAAAAAGAACGCGTCGTATATGGCGAATCGACTGCCTGGAGAGCCGTACGCTATCAAAATCTTTTTCCCTCGCTCTTCGCGTTCGCGCGCGCGCGTCTTTTATTTCCGAAAAACCGTGACTCAAAACATTCTTTCCGACCTTAATTTTTGCTGCAGAGTAAAAAAAAACGAAACAGTCGCGCTGCTCTCGCTTTCCCGTCCGCGTAATCCTCTCTCTCGTCTATTCCGCGAGCGTAACGAAAGAGCGTGTAATGCAAGTGGGTTGTCGCGCATAGAAAGGTCGTATCTGGAAAATTCTCGCAAGACGTCTCCGTAATGCCAACGATGCACCACATATATATTAAAAAAAAATTAGGAAAGAAAAAGTAAGAAAAAGAAAAAGAGATAAGACCGTATTAACGGAAGGAAGCATAGGTATCGTCGCGCGACGTTCGCGGACGCCGCGCCGATGCGAAAACGATCCCTCATCGGCCGCAGCCGCTGAATTTCTCTTATCGGAGCCGACATTTGTCCGTAATCGCCGACTAGCGAGAGACCGAAGCGACGCGATGAAAGCGACTCGAAAATCAAATACGCCTCGTTTCTTTCCTCCGGCGCCGCTCGGCGCGGATCCCGCGTGCGAAATCGACCTGACGAATACGGTAACTCGGACGAGGCCATCGCGAGCTGCCATTTGCGGCTCTTCCACGCGATCGCACGATGGGGAACGATTTCAATTTTTCTTACGCGGCCGGAAATTCCAGGCTGCCAGGGATAAGCGACTATATTATGTTTGCCGCGGTTTCATGACGATACCGTGTTCTTGGGAAGTTTCGTGCGTAACACGGCGAACTTTGCCACCTCGCACCGCAGGGGCAGAGTGAGAGAGAGAGGGCTGGCTGCTTTGCCCGCGCGCCGTAGTTCCGGATTAATTAATTAAACTCCTCGACTATCTCGCCCCCCCTCTCGTCCCTCTCTCCTCCTCTGGTTCGTTCACTCGCTTGCTCGCTCGCTCGCTCGCTCCTGCTATTAGAAGCGCGAGCTGGAGAATCACTTTGGAGGCAGGCGCGGCAACGAAACCGCGTCTTCACCTTGTCGAGTTCTTTCAGTTACCGTGGCTACGCTATGCACGGAAGATCGTCAATATTCCCACGTTAATACCTCCGAAGATATTCGGTCGTTGAACTTCGGCCACTCGCTGACGAGAGACGTGTCCGCGTGCAGACCCACCAAACGCAAAATGTGACCTCCGGCAAGAGCGGGCCCGAACGCCGTAAAGCGGCGGATTTTAGTACGATAGTAAAAAGACGCCGCGCGCGGTGGAATATCGCGCTTTATTATCGCTCGTAATAAGTTGCGGTGGAGAGGCCGTGATAACGCGATGCGCCCCGATCGGATTTATTTTAAACGTTACGACTCTTGTACTTTCACGGCGGCTGCGGATGAATACCCATCACGAGCTTTCAAGACACATCGGGTTGTCTGCCTGCAGGGCACCGGGGCGTTGTGTGGATGTTTCAGTTTTTCAGCTGGTAAAGGCCGCTGAAAGCGCCGACCTCTGCGTCTGCGTGCGATCGGAATCGCTTGCAAGATGTGGCACGGGAAAGCAACCGTTTCCGTTTTCGTTTTCTCGGACACTCCCGTTTCTTCATAAGAAATTGATCGGATACGAGCCCTCTACGTGCGCCGAAATGGAATTTGTAATGGAAAATTCGTAAGGTATTCATCCTGCACATATATATTTCCGCGTGTCCTCCGAAACTCCTCGGACGAAGGCCGTAAGTGGAGCGTCTTCGTCGCGGTCTTCTCACCCTCACGTAGACTCCATTCGCCGAAATGCGGAGGGTGCGCGCATACTAACAAGTAACACTACCCAACTGTCACTCACCGATTCGAATGAAATTTCGCATGCACGTAGAACATTGAAAAATATTGAACACGTGTTTTTTTTTTATCGGCTGACAACGCATTTTAAGGGTGGAAATCACCGCTTGATCCCTGAACATGAAAGCACTATTTCAACCCTTTGTATATGTTACATGTGATTTTCGTCAAACTTGTCTTCCATTGAACTAGTTGATAAGGAGTTTTAGGGTCGCTGATTACGCTGAATCTGGAGATAAAATTACAAAATTCAAGATGGCAGACCCAATATGGCGGACCGAAATTATAAAAAGGTGGCTGATTCAAACCAACTTTGGTATCTGGAGGTTTCCGGGGCCACTAATTACGAATCTGGAGATAAAATTACAAAATTCAAGATGGCGGAATATGACAGATGGCGGAATATGACGCGATATGACAGATCGAAATTGTACCAGTGAAGGAGGATATTGCTTCAGGCAATTACATTTACTGAATTTAACAATGAATCGGTATTCAAAATTGACCTCTCGCGTCAGTTTTTTTCAGATTAGGAAGTTGGTCTTCCAAAAGATTATTATCCGTCAGTATTCGAGCGGAATATGTAATGATATTCTAACATATCTTGATAAGATATAGATATATATATGATCTTGATCTCTTATGCCTTATATTTATTCATTTATTTATATTCTATTTATTTATATATTTATTCATATTCATTCATATTATTTATTTAAATTCTAGGCTTGTACAGCAAAAAATCTATTAATGTTCAAAACATTAATCTTAACGTTCAGAAAATTTATATAATTAATATCCTTGAAAGTTTACAATAATAAAACCGTTATTAAGTTAGAAAGTTTACAAAAATAAACCTTATTAAAAATCTTACAAGTAAAACGCATTACAATAATAATAATAATAATAATAATAATAATAATAATAATAATAATAATAATAAAGTACTACAAACGAATTATATTTTGACTTCCAACTTCAGATTCGTAATTAGAGACCCCAAAAACCTTCAAATACCAAAATTGGTTTGAATCAGCCACCTTTTTACAATTTCGATCCGCTATATTGGGTCCACCGTCTTGAATTTTGTAATTTTATCTCCAGATTCGTAATCAGCGACCCTAAAACTCTTTACCAACTAGTTCAATGGAAGACAAGTTTGACGAAAATCACATGTAACATGTGCAAAGGGTTGAAATAGTGCTTTCATGTTCAGGGATCAAAGGGTGATTTCCACCCTTAAAATGCGTTGTCAGCCGATATAAAA